TAGGTCATGGTTCAATTCTAAAATTTGTGTAAATTAGAGAAATGGAGTACATCTGCACTACATGCACATGTTATATACTTATATCCGACTATTTTTTTTAGAAGGGATTTTATATGTATATTGCAATAAATTATTCAGAAAGAGGTAAATTGGTGTAATTTAATTTCATTTCATAAACAAACTCTATACAAATTCTGCAGGTGGGTCAAAGGAGCTTACTGCACTTGTATTTAAAGGCATCTAATATAATAAACATTTCTTCTGGTAATATCTCAAATTACAACTCCATACCCACAGTAAAAAATATCAAATAGCCTGTCGTCCATTATATTTTTTCTATTAAAAGAAGAATTTTCTTTAAAAATTTGCTATAATTCTGTTAAAAATGAAAAGCCAGTGGCATTGTTGAAAGTTAGAAATTGTTTATCAATGTATTTTTGCAAAGGATTATATATTTCTGATACTGGCAATATTCTGACACTTGACTGGTCACCTTTGAAGTTTGACACCCATATTAGCAACAACTGACAAGACAAATTGTGGATTGTTATTATTTCACCAGAGGTATTACAAAATTACTATTTCACAGATGTCGGAAGATTAAATTTCTTGTCCAAGAAAATTGATGACCTTGGCAGTACTTCAAAGGAAGTGTCTGAATTTAAGACAATGAAAGTGTGGAACTTATGTCATAGGGGAAAACCATTAAGTTTCTAAAATCCCAGGTGATTTAATGATGAAGGGGCTCAAAGAAATATTGTAGGCAAGTAGTTCAATTCCTGTGTTACACCCACAAAAATCAGGTCTGTTGACAGGTATGTTGTAAGACAATATTTTATACTGTCGAAACTGGCATAACAGTAGATCGAGGGTATAACATGTTTACACTCATATTCTCAACAATCCTCTTTGTATATTTGAACTTGCAATACCAGAACAAAACTAGTTTCCATAATATGGAGAGAAAAATCCAAAACATTTAAAAAAACACTCCATGTTTTGAGGTATATTTGTCGACTGAATTGTTGAGAATACATGTGTAACTTTACAGTACTCATACCAATCTGAACACCAATAACTATTGTGATTGTTAGTTTTACATCATCAGCTCTTACAATTAACGTATTTATATTTATAATTATTTTGTCATAAAAGAAGACTGGCAAAAAATAAACAATCTTACTGAAATTAATACCTCATTCAGAGTGAAGCCAGTTGAAATGATACGGAATGTCCAAAGGTGTTGTCCATTTTGAAAAAGATACTGACAATTCATTACTAACTTTTACTTTCACTTTCATTTTAACGTTGTCAAACCAATTATTGTGACGTTACGTCTTGTTAACCTTTTTGTAACCCTATATGAACCGCATTTTAAAAATGAAAAGCCAGTGGCATTGTTGAAAGTTAGAAATTGTTTATCAATGTATTTTTGCAAAGGATTATATATTTCTGATACTGGCAATATTCTGACACTTGACTGGTCACCTTTGAAGTTTGACACCCATATTAGCAACAACTGACAAGACAAATTGTGGATTGTTATTATTTCACCAGAGGTATTACAAAATTACTATTTCACAGATGTCGGAAGATTAAATTTCTTGTCCAAGAAAATTGTTGACCTTGGCAGTACTTCAAAGGAAGTGTCTGAATTTAAGACAATGAAAGTGTGGAACTTATGTCAAAGGGGAAAACCATTAAGTTTCTAAAATCCCAGGTGATTTAATGATGAAGGGGCTCAAAGAAATATTGTAGGCAAGTAGTTCAATTCCTGTGCTACACCCACAAAAATCAGGTCTGTTGACAGGTATGTTGTAAGACAATATTATATACTGTCGAAACTGGCATAACAGTAGTTCGAGGGTATAACATGTTTACACTCATATTCTCAACAATCATCTTTGTATATTTGAACTTGCAATACCAGAACAAAACTAGTTTCCATAATATGGAGAAAAAAATCCAAAACATTTAAAAAACACTCCATGTTTTGAGGTATATTTGTCGACTGAATTGTTGAGAATACATGTGTAACTTTACAGTACTCATACCAATCTGAACACCAATAACTATTGTGATTGTTAATTTTACATCATCAGCTCTTACAATTAACGTATTTATATTTTTAATTATTTTGTCATAAAAGAAGACTGGCAAAAAATAAACAATCTTACTGAAATTAATACCTCATTCAGAGTGAAGCCAGTTGAAATGATACGGAATGTCCAAAGGTGTTGTCCATTTTGAAAAAGATACTGACAATTCATTACTAACTTTTACTTTCATTTTAACGTTGTCAAACCAATTATTGTGACGTTACGTCTTGTTAACCTTTTTGTAACCCTATATGAACCGCATTTTATGTACTTCTTCACTTGTTTCCTATTATTAAATTGTCTGAAGATGCCACCGTAAGTGACGAATCATGTAGAACTGAATAAAGCATTTCCTTGCAGAAATCCAGGATGTTGTCCTTTTATAGTTATATTTACTGAAATTAAAATGAACATGTTTTGATTTGTATCACGAATTTAACAATGAAAGGTGTAAAAGAGAAATTGATCAAATCATTTAGGGAATTTCTCTTTTTTCTAGAAAACACACTGTTCTTATACTGTTCATATTATTCACTGATGGAAGATTATACAAATAGATCAAATTATACCAATAGGTCAAAGTTATGAATAGATTCATTAGAAGAAAATTCCCTACATGACAAAATGTTTTTTAACAAAGAGAACCAATGATTAGGTTTTTAACATGGGACAGGGACAGTAACAATTTGGCAGGGTTAACAGTATTTTGAATGTTAGATGTAGACAAGTAAAATTGAATTGTTAAATAATATTATTTAAGCACAACTTACTGATGCAGAATATTATTAAATTATTTGCTATTCTTGTTAATATAATTAAAAAGATGAAAAATAAATATGATTGCAATTGTCATTTTATATGAGCAAAAAAATTATTGAAAGATTGCATATTGAATGCTTTCGTCTGGTAATTGAAATTTCATTTTCCTGCCCACTGTGTGACTTGACAGAAGTCATAGAATTAGAGTCCCAAAGCACATGTTTATATTTGGCAAGATGCTATATTTTTGTCCATAATGGGTTGGAAAAGAATTGTATGGACTCGACTGTATTCGCTTTGTTCCTTTAAATTTCTGAAATTTCAAATGCAAATTTAAACATAAACTGATGATGACTTAGTCTTTTTCAACATGAAATCTTACAACAAAATTATTTTTCCACGAACTGTATCATACAATCTGAAGATTAGGTGTTTAATAACCAACGATAAATATTGCAAACATGACAATGTCAGTATTCTGAAAAATTGGTTGTCTGAAAAAATGGTGATGTTTATTAAAAAAAAATCTTCACATTAAAGTATTCATTTCTTTCAGCACTATGAACCTGTTTACTGGAAAATCCATTTTACTTCTGTAATCACTATAGCCACCTATACCGGGCTGTGCATGCTACTTTTTTAATCCAAGATTTCCATTGGTCAGTCATTGGGAAACATCTTCTAAAGAAACATACTATTGTCATACACATTTATTTGAGTTTCTTTGATTTTTTTGGTACTTTTATAGTAAAAAATAAGTAAATATTGGTCTATTATTAGCAATGAAAAAATGTTGGAAAAATGTACACAAAATGGTGGATAGCCATAGTGAAAACGAACTATCAGCAGACAAAATTATTGATGATGTCGACCAATTTGACTTGATAAATATTAATCAAGCTGACAGAAATGAATTAGATTGGCAATGGAGAAATATAATAGGGGACAGTGATGATGAAGGTGACTTTGAGGGGTTAGAAGCCGCAGACATGTTGACAAAAATTTTGACACTAGGAGAAAGACAGAAACTCGAAGAAACATTCGTGAATTTAGGGAACGTGAGAGCAAAGTTAGAAATTTTGACACTTCAGCATCTGTCTTGAACTACTATCAATGTTTTAATACTGAAGAGGTCTTCACTTCTGTTGTCAATTTTACTAATTTGAACGCCACCTGTAAGCATTAGGCAGATGCAAACCAAAAACTTGTATGGACTGACATAACAGTTCCTAAAATGAAGACATTTAATGGACTTTCTATCCTGATGACCATAATGAAATTCGAAAGAGATAAACTTTATTGTGCTGACAATAAAGAATTTCAACTTGAAGGGATCCAATCCAATTACTGGGGAAATATTTCCCCTTAATAAGATAGAACTTACAGACTTTCTTAGGATTCCAGAATTTTATTTACCGTACCCTAAAAAAATATTGAATCATTAATGAAATAAATTGCATCCGTGTTTTTAAATGAAAGAGATTTTACCAATGTTCAAGATTTGCCTGTTGTAAGCTCAGATCAAATTAGAGCATATATCAGAAAAAAAGAAGAAAAAATGGAAGTGCAATTGAAATTAAGAAATCACTCTCTAATCGTTTATTAGGAAAGCTTACAGATATTGAACTAAAAAAATTCTTGAAGAGCTCAAGGTTTCATAGACTCGACAGCAGAACAATCGAGCTAATCTACTCAAATTGGTAGATTTTTAATCTAGAAGTACATTCATATGTGCATTTAACAAGAAACCGAAATCATCTGGAGTCAGTTTCACAAAAAATCTTAAGTCTAAGATAGATTGTAAGTCATGAACAATTAATTCAGTATCCTTGCGATCAATCTTAGTCTTCTTTGTGAAACCCACTCCTGGATATTTGCGCATCAAATAAAGGAATAAAATCTGGTTTCATTAATTTGTTAATGTAATATGTGTTCCCTATTGGAATTTCAAGAAAAAAAGTCTGTGTTTGACAATATTGTCTATCAATACCTAAAGAAAATAAATTAATTAAAATAACTCTCTACAGCTACTTAAAATACCATTATTCCCTTCATCTGTATTCTGTTTCTGTCCTCTGCCTTTCTCTCGTCTTTAGTCTTTATCTCATCTTTTGTCTTTGTCTTTTTCTATCTTTTGTTTTTATCTGTTCTTTGCTGTTACATTTCTTTTCTTTGCTTTATCTTTGATATTGAATTTGCTGTCACTTCTTCATTGAATTTCTTCTCCATTTTATCACACTTGAATGTTCTTGTCTTTTGTCAACAAAGACAGTGTTTTATGTGACACTGATCTTAAAATAAAATGTTTTATAAATACACAAATATTTATAAAACTAAATATTTAATTATTCAAATAAAAATTAATGTCTATTTTTTTAAAGAAGATATTAATTTATGCTGACTCATTATGTCAAATCAGGAAATAACTGTGTTGATTTAAGCTTTGCTGAGGTAAAATTACTAAATCTAAGGGTTAAAAATTAACTCAAGCCAATATTTTTTGGTAAAACAAATCATAGGTTTAATTGATATTAATCAGCAAACGATGCAAATAATAATAATCATTGTATGAAGTCACAACTGATTAAACATGACTACTTATAAAAATTGTACTGCTCAAGTAGCCAAAATCATACCCCTTTATACAATGCAAAATCGAAGTAAAGCTTTCCTGATTAAGTAAAACTGTGAGCTACTGCTCACTGATGATACCCCCGCCGAAATATAGCTGACTTATATAAACCCTGAAACCAAATTTCAGAATCCTTATCAAGTAGTTCCTGAGAAAAATGTGACGAAATTTTTCAACTTGACTATCATGTGTAAAATAATACAAGTGTTCAGTAAACAGGAAGTTGTTGAGTGATGAATCTGAAAACGCATCACACGGTGTAACTTACTTATATAAACCCTGAAACCAAATTTCAGAAATCCTTGTCAAGTAGTTCCTGAGAAAAATGCGACGAAAATATTCATGGAACGGGCGGACTGACTGACGGATGGACTGACGGAAGGACAGACAGAGGTAAAACAGTATACCCCCACTTTTTTAAAGCGGGGGTTTAATAATGATGAATTTAAAGTTTTGACAATGACTAACAGTCTATCCACAATAAGTTTTCAGACATCAGGTGATATAGAGATAGACATAATTAGCACTGGTATATTTTTGAAGACTGCATGACCTCAAGATGTCCTTTAGTTTTTTGTGTTGCTGGTTTAGAATATCATTGACATGTGCAATCCATCTTCATTTATTCCCATGTAGCTAAACATCAGTAAAAGCTAGGTTTGGGCGCCACCAAACGTTTTGAACACCCCTCATTCTGTAAATGCCTTTCCCAAGTAAGGAGCATGTAATTCATTTGTTGTATACCGTATTTGTTTTTAGTTTGGTTTAAATTTTGTTATGTCAGGGCCTTTAATAGCTTGATAGGCACAATTTGTTTAACTCCTAGTTGAAGACTGTACAGAGACCTATAGTTGCTAACATCTACGTCATTCTGTCTCTGGTGGATAGTTGTCTCATTGGCAATCATACTACATCTTCTGTCTCTGGTGGATAGTTGTCTCATTGACAATCATACTACATCTTCTGTCTCTGGTGGATAGTTGTCACATTGACAATCATACTACATCTTATTTTATATTCAATCTTACTCCAGAGTCAATTATACACCTGTTCAACTTCATTTGTTAAAATGCATATATACAAACCTCATAGCATAGGTAGGAATGCTATCTGTATATACAACATATATCTGATAAGGACCTGACTGCAAGGCGTAACACTTGTGTGAGTCAGTTGTTATGTACGTTTCCATAGGCTGATGGGTAAACTCCAATGGCCCTGAAACACACGATTTGAGAAATACTAATTTATTTCAGAAAAATATTCGAACAAAAAAGGGGGTTCAATTCCTTTCCTCTATAAACAAATTAATTTTTTATAGTTCATTAATGGTTGTTTTACCCATTTCTAGAAATCTAATGATTGATGGGTTGTTGGCATTATGTCATATTCAGGACAAGTAACAATGAGAAATAGTGATACTGTGGATTCATTATTATTCGTGGAATACACATGCTTGTGGCTTTGATTCATAGATATAGGTATTTAAACCATGAATTTAATGTTAAACATTTGAACTAAGTACAAATTTTCAATAGGCTTGTATGTAGACTTTGGGTATAACCATGAAATCAAATATCCACTAAAATTGATATCCACCACATAAATTAATCCACAGTAAATTAAGCTTTAAAACAAGCATCTTACAGGTTACTCATACAAAAGTAAGAAGATTTATTGTAATTTGTCATTAAATCATTAAATTAAAAATATATTATATAAACTTGATATTTAGAAGAAAATAAAAATTTTGCAATTTTTCCTTTTATAAAGGGGCATAACTCTAGATCGGTTAAAGTGACACCACCAAAATTCAAACTTGATCTGTGTTTTGTGGTAATAAGCATTGTGTATAAGTTTCATAACATTTGGTTGAGGCAAACTTAAGTTAGAGAACGGAAACTAAAAATTATGCAATATTTCCTTTTATAAATGGGCATAACTCTAGATCGGTTAAAGTGACGCCACCAAAATTCAAACTTGATCTGTGTTTTGTGGTAATAAGCATTGTGTATAAGTTTCATTACATTTGGTTGAGGCAAACTCAAGTTAGAGAACGGAAACCAATTTCGGGACGTACGTACGTACGTACGTACGTACAGACGGACAAGGGTAAAACTTAATGCCCCCTCCGGTACGGCGGGGGCATAAAAATTGAACACACTCCATCAGAACTTAAAGTGATAGATGCAGCACTTTACCTGTGTCACTTCCTTCTATGACTGAAGTAAAGAATGTTCCAACCATCTTCTTATAAAACGATGACAACACTTCTCTCCTCTGTGGAACTGTTAAAAAATCACCTGTAAATTTAATGTAATTGATTAAATTCACATATAAATTTAATTTCAGGGGGAAAAAATATCAATGGAATACTTAAGAATATATATGTATACACACTGGAACCAGATAGTCTGATTAATATAAATCCTCCAAAGAAAAATCATCAAAAATCATGGAATCAACTCATCTCTCTTATTTCTATGATGCTTTTATGAAGTGTATTGCTGTCTTGTTCTGGCAAAATTGTCAGTGTGTAAAACAGTTATAAAAATAAACAGGATATAAATAATCTGATGCATGAAAAATTTTAAATTTCTAAAATACAATTTTCAAGATTCAAGAAAATTCAACTAACTTCACCAGTGACTGTAACAAATGTTGTTTATATTCAATTGGCAACAAACTGGAGAAACTGTAAGTTCCTTAAATCACATTTAATTCATATTTGAACTTAAAAAACATAATTCATGAATAAAATATTGATTGTGCATTGAAAAATTTGGTATTCATGTTGATTCTTTGGTAATCTCTGTTAAATTCATTTAATTATCTGGTAATTAAGAGTTTATACCAATATAGTGTGGACCCTCATCCATTATTTTATGTTGACCTTAATATGTGTACTGTTAGCAAATATGTGTTGTTGAATAAAAAAGTCCTAACGTTTTAGACTACATTCATTAACAAGTGGCAATAAAATGTGATATTTACCTAAAGGTCCACTACTTTCTGGAGATGAGTTCACACTTCCAAGACATCTGCTGGTTTCCGTGTTTACAAGAAGAAAACTGAAATACAACAGGTTTTATTTTTTCACATGAAAATTCATATTTTTCTTGCAAAATGTTTGTAAAAATCAAAATTATCTACCACAAATCATATAAATTTTTCTGTTCAGATTGTACCTTAAAATGATCTTTATACATGTATATATATTGCCTGAATTGAAGATTATTTTCACTTATATAGCAATTCTGATATAGCCTTAATGTAAATTTGTGTTTTCATTTAATTACATTTGGTCTAGATTGGCTAAAGGGGGAGGTTTGCTAGAATGTAAACTAGTGCGTTAAACACCACCACATGTTTGCTCCTTTACAAAGTCAGGATAACTGGACCATGTTTTGTTTGTCTTTATTTGTATGTCCGTTTTTTTCTGAGGAGGCAGGTGTTGGTGATTGAGGTGCTTTGTTGTTCTGTGAGGTATTTTCAGCCATTCTTGTTGTTCCTTTATTGTGTACAATAGTCAAAAATGCATTTATACCAACTGATTAACATTGTCTAACAACTTCTGTTTATCATTGTAATCATTAACAAGATATCCTACCATTGTATATTTGGATCTAAGACCATGCTTGAAGGGATGTTTCTGGGAACGATTGAGGTAGCTGATAATAGTGAATCATAAGCTGGCCTCCAAAATCTTCCTACCTGAAAATAATGTAACTGATTAAAACTAGATTCTGTATTTACATAAATAATTGCTATTTTTCAGGCATGAAATTATGTACCATGTCATGCTTTTTGGACCATTATGTTTGTTTTTGTTTGTAAGTCTATCTTTTTTTCAAACAAGTCCGGTGTTGTTTTGTAACACTGTCCAGTATCCTCAAATCTGTTATCACTTTTTGTTAAGTATTATGGTATAAAAATGTGCATACTATAACTTGAAAAAAAAATTTGTTATCCTGGTACAATATTCAATTCACAATCTGCGTTTTCCTATAGACAAATCTACTACATATATTTTCTTGCCTTATTCCTTCATAACCTTAAGCCATTTTCTTGATGAAAAATGCAGTAAAATATAATAAAAAATTATAATTTCCAAAAGCACAAACAAATTTAATAAAAATCTAATGCCATTCAAATTGTTTGGTAAATTCTGATTCATTAGATCATTTTGTTAGTTGAGAAGATAGAAGAAGGTGTCATACATCACATTTGTCCCTGTCCCAATATATATGATATTAATTACTTCATTACTAATGGACATAACTTGGAAACTACAAATTTAAAATTCAGACAAGACCAGTGTGTAAAGCTATCTTGTATTTAAATGGTTCTTCAATAAATTAAACTTTGAAAATGTTCATCTCATCCATATAACAATACCTCATTCTCTAAATCTGCTAGGCTTGGTGTCTGTCCACATATCACACAAACTTCTGTCTTTCTAGTCATTCTGAACGTCATCAGTCTATGAGGTATCTGTAAATTATAACATTTCTATAAATTCAAGAGCTCATGTAGAAACATTTTACATAAAATATGTTTCACAGTAATGTACACAAACAGAGACCTTTCCCTACTACGGGACACTCCTTTATAAGTCATACTGCAATAAGCTTAGGGTTAGATTTTTTGGGGGATGTTCCAGACCCTTGTATTGTTAAGACTAGAAATCACAGTGCACTTCAAAAAATTTGAAATTAAAAAAAAGGAAGAGCATAAACATTCAAAATTTAAACATAACTATCTCATCTGAGCAAGGTACGCACATACCAAATATAGTTATCCTATTACTCATAATAAGAGAGAAATTATCATTAGAAAAAAATCTTAATTTTTTTTTTAAAGTAGTCACTGAACCATGAAAATGAGGTCAAGGACAATGGACATGTGACAGATGGATACTTCGTAACATAAGGCATCTATATACAAAGTATGAAGCATCCAAGTCTTCCACCTTCTAAAATATAAAGCTTTTAAGAAGTAAGTTAACGCCGCAGCCGCTGGATCACTATCCCTATGTCGAGCTTTCTGGGACAAAAGTTGCAGGCTCGACAAAAATATTTTCTTTTAAATCAATACAATAAGCTTGAAATAAATTTTACTTTGCAGAGAAGGAGATATTTGGAGATTTTCAATCAGAATCAGTTATTAATTCTGATTGATGAATCTACAAATTGTTGATAACGTTATACATGTTATATTTCCAAACAGAATGAAATAGATACAAGGACTGTCCATAAATAATTAATTATACAGGTCCTTTTATAAATTATACCTGAAAGGTTTCAATCAAAGTAGCTGTCATTGGACTTTAGGGGATATTGTTGTTAAAAGTTGACAGACGACATACAGACAAGGGATGCAGGTAAGCTTACACTATGATACAATATCTTACAGTAGGATGACTGTCTGGTAGAAATATTGGTATGTCTCTTGAGGAACATCTCTGTAGAGAGGATATCAGTAAGGTCAAAAGAACTAGTTCATTGGATGATAAAGACCACCATTTCCTAGTCGCCACAACAATCCGGTCATCCACATACAGACATCCAAACGAGCTTTCAGCAGCTTCTGTAAAGGCATCTAAGAAATTCTGAAATATATTTGGTTTATATTAAGTTCTGTAGTTATTTCTGTTAAAATTTAAATACAATTTGAGAAGATTCATATTTTGTGCAGGCAACTGTCCATAATTGAAGACAATGAAGTGATCTTAATGATTTTATATAAATGTGGTAAAAAGTTGCTGGCCCATTATCTTGTGTCCTTTGTTCAAAGTGTCAGATTACAAAATACTCTCCTAAATCTATTTTACTTAAAGCAACTTTTCAGGTGTAATGTGTGTTACTTATTTAGTTGTTACATCTAATTGTATCTTTATTTTAAAATGGACTAGTAACTGATTGATGCTGTTCAGGTGTAATGTGTTACTTATTTAGTTGTTACATCTAATTGTATCTTTAAGATGGACTAGTAACTGATTGATGCTGTTCAGGTGTAATGTGTGTTTCTTATTTAGTTGTTACATCTAATTGTATCTATATTTTAAGATGGACTAGTAACTGATTGATGCTGTTCAGGTGTAATGTGTTACTTATTTAGTTGTTACATCTAATTGTATCTTTATTTTAAGATGAACTAGTAACTGATTGATGCTGTTCAGGTGTAATGTGTTACTTATTTAGTTGTTACATCTAATTGTATCTTTATTTTAAGATGGACTAGTAACTGATTGATGCTGTTCAGGTGTAATGTGTTACTTATTTAGTTGTTACATCTAATTGTATCTTTATTTTAAGATGGACTAGTAACTGATTGATGCTGTTTAGGTGTAATGTGTGTTACTTATTTAGTTGTTACATCCAACTGTATCTTTAAGATGTACCAGTAACTGATTGATGCTGTTCAAAATTAATTTGCTGATTAATGATACAACATTAAAAGGGGAAATATTTAAAAATATTGATTATACAGCTCTTCACAGTATATTTAATTTAGCTTTTATTTTAGTGAATTTTGTTGAACTGATATAATATCCCACCCTGCAAACCTAGCCTGCTATATGGTAATATTAACTGCTGTGTCAAGAACATCTTGATGTTGACATTTTTTGGTTTTGGATCAGGAATATTTGGCATACTTCTGCACCATAAGTCCAACATATTTGAACACTTTAAAATAATTAATTTTGTACATTTGGATAATAATAAATTGCCAAGATCATATAGATTGATTAATTGATCAAAATAATGTATATGTTACTTAGTGATGGCATTAACTTGACATATTCTTTATGGTGCTGTTCCAGAATTAAATGGATGGCAGACATAAAGGCCCTTTTTTAGACCCAAACCACACATAATATAAAATTTTCATTTTACTTATGATTCTTACATATTTCTAAGGAAAATGCAACCATCCAAAATTAATAAGACTGCCTCATTGCATTCTCCAGCAATAATTTTGGAACAGCCCTTACTAATGTTCAAATGTATCCAAAAGTGACCTTAAATTTGATATACTTTAGATCAGCTAGAGCTCATGGTGTTGGTAATCTTACCTGCAGAATTGTGCTTTCTGGTGATGCTATTGTTTCTACAGTATTTGTTAGTGTACTGAAACTGACCGGTGGTTCTACTAATTTGTCAATTAGCTGGTTACACACCTGTACAAACAAATATATCAAATTTGGAATCAAGAAACTCATATTGACATATAAAATAAATTGAGAAGTACAAGGAATTTACTTAATGTAATCACAAAGAAATTTTAGTGAGCATGCTCACATACTCCCCTTTTTCCCCTATAAAGAAGGAGAGCTTAAACTATAGCAGCTGATTTAGTTTTTCTGTTTTCTTTTAGGCATGATTCTTTTTATTTTGATGTCAGAGTTATATTGTCTGTACAATAATAAGTATGAATAAGACTTCACACAATAATACTATCTCATTTATGTTCCATTTTGTATTGTGCCATTATTTTTTGCATTTTCAGAGATCTAATAATGTACGAATAAATCGTATGTCAGAATCCAATTTGACAAATACTGCAATAATAATAAATACACAACAGTTTTATTTTTTTAGTTACCTCAAATATCTCTTTATTCCTCAAATATTTAGTATTTCAGTGCCGTTTATGTGCAACCGACAATGCCTTGACTTATTTCATACCTTCAATTCTTTTTTAAATCTTTCAATATTTTTGATGTTGGTTACTTCGTCTAATCCACAGAGTAAAACAACGATCTGGAAGGCATAGTTGAGTAGGTTAGTCAGGTGACAGTCATCAGCCATATCATCCTGGGATACCGCTATCATTGTTACACTGAAAAAATCAATTGATAGTCCTCTTATGTTATCATGATTTATGGTTGACGTCCTAAACCCCCCTTAGTACAGCATGGAAAGGATCTATATTATTGTTGTACGACCATCCAACTAGTTTTACAGGAGCTTGCAGCTCTGACCTAAAATTTGAAGGAAAAAAAAAACCTAAATTTTAATCTTAATATTTGGGATTGGCTGCTGCACTGTCAGTTTCAATTTAATTCATATTGGCTAATTGGTCAAAGTATGTGAAATACAGAAAACAGGTAGAATCTCAATGGTGTTGACATCAGTCAGTTAAAGGGGCATTAAGCCAAAAAAAAATATATGTCTGTTTACGGTTACTCGACCGTCCCTATTTTGGGGTGCCGACCCTATGTCATTTTATTCAAAAATGAAATCAAAAGTGAAAGTACAAAGCCGGAAATACCTACTTTCAGTTTAAAACAAAAGTGAAAGTAGGTGCATGATCATCTGAGCGCTTTAATTTTAAAATCCCATACTCTATATTGAAGCTTTTTAAGATCTAGATCTCAATGGCAGCCTGCATGGCCCAACAGGCTGAGGCAGCAAGCGTGGTCGCATTAAAGTTAAAAAAATGCGACCACATCAAGGGTCCGGAAACGGTCATATTTGCCAGTCATGTCCTAAGATGAAACTATTTGTCCTAAACGAGTAATTGAGATTTATGACAAATTTTTTTTTTTACAGAAGTAATTTCGGTCATTTCATTGACTCAATGTTTGCAATCGGATTTCTTAATCGCCATTTTGCACTTGTGATCACTTGTTTTTGTTTATAATCCCTTTCCTGTAATAAAACTGTCACTACAGTAGTTTGATAATCCTGAGGGCCCTCCTAATATCTATATCAATGCCTCCGGGAAACATTGGCTAATGATCGCTAATCACTTTTTACCTGTGGTTTTAATTCACATGTACACCTGACAGTGATCACAAGCTCAGAATAATATCTTTAAAACATTAAAGTTCCCTGACAAGTGTATTCATTATTTATTTACTTTTCATCAAAGACAGTCATCAATTCTGACTTAAGAATTAAATCTAAATTTACGTAGAAAAAAGTATTTTTTCATGAGTAACACATGTACTTTATTTACTATGTAATACGCATGCGTGAAATTATCTTCAGCAAATTTAATATTTAATCGTAAAATGCAAATTGATTTCATGCTAAATTAAACGAGTGCAACTATTATCTGTTATATTCAAACACTTTTAAAGGTAATAAAATAAAAAAGTCATAAAAAGCCAGTGATTTCCTGTCAATTTGATAAACAAAACAAATCCCGGAAATGAATCCGGAATTATTCGTACTTTAAAATATCGCAAACTTCCGGTTTTAAATTTTGTCAAATCGAAAGAAACGTAAGCAATGTCTGAGAAATTAACCTTTTTGAGTCATTAAAATCATTTCAATTTTAGACTGTTGCCTTCCCTAAACTGTCCTTCAAGGTAATGGTAAGACATTTACCTAGAAAATGCGATGAAACAGCAATACAAGTTCGTCATGTTCGTTGATGCTATGAAGTGATATATACAATTTGAAAAGGGGCACCAACTTTTCAAACATCTCAAAATGACCGAAATTGTCTGGAAAAAATTCCGGATCCTTGGACCACATGCTTACAAAATCTATTATGACAACGTTACCAAGCAAATTAATAATTGGTACCGATGTGTTTGATCTGTACCATAGTAAACAACCTGCATAAACATACAAAGTAACGGTGACTTGCAAGACTGAAATTCAACAAGGTGACGGTTTTATTGTTGACGGGAACTTAACTGTTGGAGATGTTGTAGATAAATTCAATGTTAAATGTATAGAATTTTTATGTGAGAAGGAGATCAACAATAATTTGTTATCTATTGTCCAAACAGCGGCAGACAATGCTATCAACACTGCAATAAATGTTTTTCAAGTTATGATGGCTGGAGGACAAGCATACCCAACTTTTTTTAAATATTAAAAGACATCTGACATCACCCTTTTGACACCTATCCCTGCAAATATATTTCAAACCAGGAATTGAACCTGTTAAGACAGGCATGTTTTTTTTCTATTTATTAATTCTGCAGGTAAGTGTCAGTACTTGTAGAGGTTAGCCAAGTACTGACAGATAGATAATTTCAGACTAACCTCTCATAAATAAATGTAAATACCACACATTTAATAATATGTATGGTCTGCAGGGGTGTCTACTCTTTATTTCTTCTATAAAAACACCGCACCAAACTTGTAAGCAATGTTCCTGGGAAGGTTATTTATTATGGTATAAAAGAATTTAATTGATTAAAAGTTTAATGCATCAAATTTGCAACAGTGAAAGAAACATACTTTGATACAAGGAGTTGGTACAACCCCCAAAAATTGAACCAGTACGTTCATATGTATAAGTGCAGGTTTTGTCATCTTTCCTCGTTTCTGATGGGTCTTCTTGTTTTATATATATTGATTGTTCATACACCCGTACAGCATATTGAATTTATTTCTGCATATATAGATGTAAGAAGATGTGGTATGAGTGCCAATGAGACAATTTACTCTCTCTATTCAAGTCAAAATTTATAAAAGTAAACCATTATAGGTCAAAGTACAGTCTTCAACACGGAGCCTTGGCTCACACCGAACAGCAAGCTATAAAGGGCACAAAAAATTACTAGTGTAAAACCTTTCAAACGGGAAAACCAACGGTCTAATTTATATAAAAAACACGACAACTACTGAACATCAGATTCCTGACCTAGGATGCCTGCATACATGTACATTAATAAACCTATATATTAGAAAGGACAAAACAATTTATTTTAAGTTTATATGACAGTAAAAAGTTAATATAGTCACTTAATATTAGTTAAAACAACATGTAACAACATCACACATCTCACAAAAAAAAAATGAAAAAAATAAATAAAATGGAAATACCTACCTACCTACCCTATTATTTTAAAGGATGTAACCTTAAACAGACATATATTTTTTTTTTGCCTTAGCTGTGATTTAGACTAAAAAAAATAGTTTGCAATCTATATAACAAATGTCAAGAGTTTTGTATCATTCAAATTTGCCTTATAACACAAAACTTTATCTAAAACAGAAATAAAATATTTAAAGGTAAGGAAAAAAACATTGTACATGTATGAATTGCTTCCAAAAAATGAAATCAAAATGTTATAAAAATAACTTAACAGATATATACTTTTTATATCAATCTATCTACATTGCATGCTTTCTACATCTTGTACTTACCTGCAATTAATACATTTCTTTTGAACGTATATATGACCAAAGTTGTTATTTAATCAGTTAAAGTACTTGTATAAATATATTTTGAAAATCCTTAATTCATGAATATTTCACACAATACATTCCTCTAAATAATACACATGTAGTACAAGTCTGACAATACCATACTTATGAATAGTCTGTACAATCTCTCTACTTATATTACATTTCAAATGTTTATACTTACATGACCACATGTATCCAGCCACTATAATGAACTGTGATGCAATTTATATAAACCAGATGTTGGGTATTAGATAATCCCCCATTGTTTATTCAACCTCTGCTTATATATCTGATAATTAATTGCATTTTTCTGAAGATAAATTACAGGAATCTTGAGTACAAAGAGTTCAATTCATCATACATTATTCTTAAATTTTTAATTCCTAATACTCTTTTGACAGATCTTTTTCATGTGCATAATGTGAGGACTTCTTTCCCTTGAATATCTATATAATGTATAAATTAAATTTAATGAATCCACAAGACATTTCTGAAATTGACAGACTTTTATGTAAATATTTACAATCTAAAAGATTGACTCATAACATAAACATTTGGTTATGCTTTCATTTTTAATCATCAGTTAACTTTACCATGATTTCATGAACTATTACACCAAACAATGTATGTGTATTTTTTTATTCTTCATAAAATGTATATGTACATCTTTATCAGATCTACTCTAACATTGTTAGGTTGATTTTCTAGGCCCTTATATATATTCTAATGTCTGGTATTTACTGAATCATAAGAGTTAATCTACAGCATTCAGAAATAAGCCCCCCCCCCCCCCTTAAATCCCCTTAAACTGACAGAGTAATGTGTTGGAATCTAGACCAGATTCAGAACGGATGCAGAATAGCATCTGACCTACTCTGCTCGGAATGCAGTCTAGAAACCAGTGAATCCAGTTGGGTACTAGTAAAACAAACACATGTTTGGGAAAAGAACCACAGTTTAATGCTTAGTTTTTCATATTAATAAAACCACAAACAACAGTACAGTTTTCAAACAATACACAAATTAATTAATGAACAATCTGTGGTATTCCATATAAAAACTAACATATTATGAATACAAAACTGTGTGTTCTTGTAAGTCAAACTACTCTAAACATATTTATATACACAAAATAAATTGATACAATAATAATAAAACAAATATTAACCCCTTTAAAGGGTGGGTGAGGATGGGATTTAAAAATTTCCAACTGCAAAAATATAATGCTTCTGCTTCATGCAACTGAATTAGCTTGAATGCCTATGAAGACGTGCAATTGTTAGAACAAAGAACCAACAGTAATTAATTAACTATCTGATTGGACATTTTGAAATGAGCGCCCTATTCTGATTGGTTCTCTAACTAAATCTCACTACACAATTAGGGAACGAGATTTCAACAGCAGCAACTAGGAAAAACCAATTTTCTCATTGGTTAAAAGTTTACAATGACATACAAAGCTAAGGATACACTCATTTCCATAAATGACCGTATCCTGATATGAAGTAACTTAATATGTTGTTGATAAGAGGCAATGCAATCACAAGGATGAATTGCATTTCACTATACTGTGTATTAATACTCAATTTTTATTTATATAAAAATACCACATTAATCTACAGCATTCAGAAATAAGCCCCCCCACCCCCCCTTAAATCCCCTTAAACTGACAGTGTAATGTGT